GGGATGTTGGGGTTGCTAACTGGGTAAGTACTTGGGGTTGGGCTGAGACAGGGACCAGGAGCACTGATGCAAGTCGTTGCTTTTCCAGGGCAAGCACTGCATCTTAGATGTTTCTGGCAATGCTATCAAGAGGCTGCAGCAAGCACAACTTTACCCCATTGCCATTTTCATCAAGCCCAAGTCCATTGAAGCACTTATGTAAGTATTTGCTGAGACTCACTCCTGGCTGGGAGAGAACCCTGCAAAGGAAACAGAAAATGAAGTGATTGGTTGGGCCGGTGGGTGCCCCAGTGGAAGTACAAAGGGAGACCTGCACCGCAGCTCTGGTCCCCAAGGGCTCCTGGTGTGAGGGCCCACGTGTGTGTTCCCAGGTGCACTTTTAGACCTGGAAGGTTTGAGGAAGATGTAGAGTCATGGGCCGTGCTGCTCTCAGAGGGCAGCTGAGCAGGTGTTCAAGGAGCCTGGAATAATCCTTTGTGTTAATCAGAACATGGAATTTAGTTCGGCACTACATTTCTTCTATCGTTGACAGGGAAATGAACCGACGGCAGACATACGAACAAGCAAATAAGATCTATGACAAAGCCATGAAGCTGGATCAGGAGTTTGGAGAGTACTTCACAGGTAAGGACCAATCCAGCTCATGTGGGACCAGCCAATATCTGTTCTAGAAGAGTCTCCATGAGGCTTAGTCACCTCACACAGAGTTTCTGGGGGCTTTTGGGCTCATACCTTTCCAAAGTACTAAAGTGCCCTGCAGCCCACCAGAACAGTTAGCCAGTTTATAGTTTCCACCACCATCACCAATGCTGCCTTAGATCATTTTGTTCTTTTTGTCTTCGTGTGCCAACTAGAGTGGATGCTCCTTACAGTACTATGCTGCCCTCCCCCCACTTCCAGGACTTGGCCTTGCATGTTTTAGATGCTGAAGAAATTGTTGTTGCTGAAGATTCCTTGGTGTGGTGTTCAAGTTGTCTGTCAGTGTGTGTGTGCATGTGACCATAGAGGTCAGTTTCTCAGAGGTTGGCAGAGTGTCTGTAGCATGTTGCTTACCTTTTCACGTGCAGTGACATGTATGTGCAGGTTTGTGCAGAGTAAACTCTAGCAGGGACGCTACTAGATGAACCAGGACAGGATCCGTAACTGTCCTGTCATCTCTTGGGTTTCAGAGCTCCCTTTACTGTGAGCATCTGTTCTGTGTGCCATGCTGACCTCTGAAAGAGCAGATGTGACGGCTCCAGGAGCACTTTCTCTTGCCAGAAATTGTGGGTTCCAGCTCTTTCTCTGGATAACTGGGATTTCCCCAGTCTTCTGCTTATGGCTGCTTGAGAACTGCCAACTGCTGGCCTCACGTGGCCAAGGGCAGCATGAGCTGCAACGTCTGGCATCTAATGGGTGTGCAATGAAAGTTTGTGAGCAACACATTTTCCTATTCATTGCTATTTAGTCTCACGTCTCAGCAAATTTACTTCAAGCCCTGGGCTTGGAGCACCTGCCAGTTTCCCTTGCTGCACTAGGCTCACAGATAGCGATATAGTGACACCAATCCCACGGCCATGTGGTCGCTGCATGCCAGGTTGAGCTGTAGGCCTGTTGGGACAGGCCAGATTGCTGGGGTTTGGGGGTGCTGTGGACAACAGTAATAATTCTGTTTTCTCTTCACTTTAGCCATTGTACAGGGTGACTCACTGGAAGAGATTTATAACAAAATCAAGCAAATCATTGAGGACCAGTCTGGGCACTACATTTGGGTCCCATCCCCTGAAAAACTCTGAAGAAGTCCCTCCATCCTTTCTCTTGTGAACAGAAGAAGTCAAGCCCCTCTTCCCTCCTCCCTCTTCATTCCTGACCCCATGGGGAGAACAAATGACTACTGTTCTTGTCCCCTTTTTTAGATATGTCAAAAAAAATTGAGTTTTCTAGTCCTGTTCTGTTTTTTAAATTTTTGTTTTGTTTGAGTTTATTTTGGGGGGACGATGCCATCTCACTCATCATGTGACTGTGCCCATTCCTGCATGGACCTTTCCCAAGCGCTAGCACAGGTGCAAATCCTTCAGAGTCATTGTTTTCATAAAAATTGAGCAGACACGAAGAGAAGAGAGGAGAGGAGGACTGATGGAAAGATAGACTCTGGACAGCCGCACAGCTTTGACGTGAGCTCAACGCGCCTCGCGATGAGGTGCTCCTGGCATCTCTGCCTATCTGTACTGCTGCATGCAGTTCTGTATGGTGTGACATCATGGTGACAGAAAGTACCTTATTTATATA